GTCAGGTTCCCAAAAATTGTAATGAGTGTGGCATCTCAATATTTTCTATTTTTCTCGTGTTTCTTTAGGACCCAAAGGTTAATGTTTTTTTAAAAAGATGCGCCGCGAATGCTCTACAAAACCATACCTAACCTTTAATTGTAGAGCTTCAATCAAGAAAACTATGCAGATTATACGAAAGACGAAAAACATGAAAAATAAATTTAACAAGCAAGTTGAAGAAATAGTAACAAAATGCAGTCCGTGGGAATCTGATAATGTGGGGACCGTCATTGCACTCAATTTGTTTTTCAGCAAATAAATGCAAGATCAGATTTAAATATACAGAATTGTAGAGAATTCCAAGCGCTATCAGATATGGGGGCACTTTTGTAAAAGTATATTTTCGTAAGGAAAATATCTTAAAAATACTGTGTACAACTATTTTTTCCACGAGGATATAGCTTTGAGCTGACAATAAACATCTCTTGTAAATTCTGTAACTTTGTAAAGAAAGGTCGTGGAGAGCTGGGAAGCGTCTCATTTTGACATAAAATTTTCAGGCTACAATTACAACATGTTGATAAAACATTACTAGGGTTTTAGGGGATTTATAAAAACCGGTTCTCCAGAGAAACGTTAGGAAAGGTCTATGGGCACAAACGGCTATCATATTCATAATCAGCGCCCTTGATTACATATAAATTGCCAGGTTTTAAACAAAATCGGAATGCCTCACTTGGGAATGTCCTTGTAAGACTGTTGTCATAGACAAAAATATATGTTTATACATACTTCGTTTTATTTTTTCGTTATTATAACAATCAATGCAAATAACAAATGCACAGTGTGCACAAGTATAATGAAGGTTAAACAACGATATTAAACATTCATCACATAAATCAACGTAATTATATAAACGTTTTTTCCATAGAATACTACGTGTTGCTAAAAAATAAAAGAAGAAAAAATATTGAAGTAAAAACGATTCAATATGATGAGCATCCTTCCATTAGGAAATAAAACAATAGTATAGTATATTTAGATGAAACGATTGGTAAACTAAATATTGATGACTAAAGATTTTCAGACATGGTGGGTTCAATGGTTATGTAGATTTTTTCTAGTTTTGACTATATACTCATTCTTTCCATCTTATTTCCCATTTTATTTTGCTACCCCTAAATTTTTGATTTTAGTTTTTGGTTTTGTTGATTCCGTTGGATGGGAATTGCTGCTGCAAAGAGGAACTGAAATGGGATTGATAAAGGGAATAAAGGGTAACAGGAGATGAAGAGAAGCTCTTTGAAAAGATCATCTGAATCATCGGTCTGGTTGAGGAGAGAAAGGGTTTGTTTAGATGTATCTGGGAGTGTAGAAGTTATGAGCATGCGGTATTCTTCTGTGGCTTGAGAGAGTTTGGTGTTGTTCAAATGCAAGAAAGGGTCCTTCATTTTGGGATGGGAAAAATCAGAAGAAACTTATAAAAAGGTGATAAAAGTGAAAAATGAGTTAGAATCAGAGTAGGCTATAAATTTGTACAATAAGAATTTAAAATGTTAATAATATAATATTTATGGCTGTTATTCAAGCTGGACTTATGTTATTCTGACTTATTATGAAAATATGATTGAAGAAATGAATATATATATGAAGAACAGTGAATATGAAATTGAGAGTATTGGTGATTTCTGGGAGCAGAGAGGTTATGAGGGCTATGAATTCAGCAGCAAGGTGCTCAGATCTGGTGGGGTTGGTGCTGGAACAGCTGTATTGTGAGATAGATTTTTCCGAGATCAAACGATTTTTAAACACAGAACTGAAAAGCCGATTAAAAATTAATATATTTATTGTTTCTGTTCTCATCCGATAACTGACACTTTTAATAATGAAAAGTGTTTGTTTTTTATTTTAAAAAATATGTTTATTTACAATGGATCTGGAAAATTTTCTAGGTGCAGGTTCATCAGAGTTTTAAAATATTTTGTATATGAACTAAACATTTCTTTTTTATATTTCAGTAGCCAGAGAAGTATGTGGTTTAAATGAAAAAGTTGTCAATATCAGAACTTATAACGCTGAGGATTTTTAAGGTATTAGAGAAAAACACATAGGATCGTTCTCTCATCTCAATTTTAGAAGGTTGTTGAGAAATCTTAGAGTTAGAGACTGGCGTGTTAAAAATTGTTTTATTATGTTCTTTTGAATATTGACAATATTTAATACAGTCCTAATAAACTTTTACTAAATTATTTTCAGAGTTTCCTACGACAAAAAAGTTTTTTTCTATAGATTTTGCGATTTTCTTTTCTGTTTTCTTTTTTATTTTGTTTTCTTATTCACGTTATAGACTATAGCTATATAACGTGTTGATGTGATATAACTATATAACTATTAGAGCACTAGCAAATAAGGAGATATCTCTTTTCACATACGATATCTCGTGTGCCAACATTTTTTTGTCTCAGCGCGTCGATTGAAACGAAAGAGAACAGAAAGATATGCATGTGCGAAAAGAGGTATCTCCTTATTTGCTAGTGCTCTATTGTCTGTGATGTCACGCTTTCTTCGTTCTCTTTCCTTCATAACAGTCGAAGAGTAGCGAGCGAAAGCGAAGAAACGAAGAAAGCGTGACATTCATAGGTTATGTACTAGTAGTACACGTACAAAAATTTTAGAAATTAAGAAAAAGGTAACATAAACTATTTCACCCTTTTATGAAGTATGTGTAAGCTTTTCACACATCAAACAGAAAAGTTTTGAAGATTTTGATGAAAATACTGACTTTTTTTTGAATAAAGAACACTTACATCGAATAGCCTGGGTAATATGACGTTCAGATATTTCTTCTGTCAACTTGAAACTTATTCTTTTGTGAAAACTCTTAGAGCTTTTCTTCATCAAACGGGAAAACGAATTTTTAAGTTTAGAGTGGTTTTGGGGACAAAATGACTGTCTTTGCATTTTCTGTTAACTCTAGTCCTTACGGACGGGCGAACGGACAGGATACGAATGGCGTGGTGTCTTGTGATTGTGACCGATCCACTTTTTCGAAAAACGTCTATGATTTTCAAGTACTTCAGTTGTCTTTCTTTATCGTTCCCTTCAAGTTTTCAAATTACTTTTTTTTGATTTGGCATCGAAAACTGATTCTAAAAATGATGCAGAATTGATTGTGAAAGCTTCAGCCTTTCCGGATTTGGGAGCCAAAATCCTACCTGTCGAAGCAGTAGTAGGTCGTTTTGTAAATCTATCTAGTTTTTTGAGAGATGGGAGAACGTAAAAGTTTGTCCCGAGATCTTTTTAGTTATGAAAAAGTTATACTGATAGACTGAGTATGTCCTTTAGTTTTTTACTCCCTGTACTACCTTTACTCCTTTTACTGCTTTTAGTTATAAAGTGAGAGTGAGGGTAATAGTTCTGATATGCGTGAAAGTAAAGGGAGTAAAAAGCTAAAGAATATACTCAGTCTATCAGTATAACTTTTTCATAACTAAAAAGATCTTGGGATAAACTTTGTACCATCTCCCACCCCTTAGTTTTTTCGTGAATTGTTGTAGTCAAACTTCTTATCTCATCTTATTCGCTTGACAACGAGCTACAAAAGTATATATCAAGTTTTTAAAAAATTTTCTTTCTCGCTAAGATATTTCGATTTCGCTCAAATTGTGGCGAAAAAGTCAGAATTCTGCTTGTAATTCTCAATTTTCTCGAACAGAATTCAACTTTTATGCAATAAAAATATCATATTCTGAATTAGGATAAAAAGCTGAGTCGACTAAATTATGTATTTCTATTCTATCAGACTACTTTAATTTTGTTCGGATTTTCACGTTGAAAGTTATCGAGATTTTCATCAAAAAATGAAAATCAAGTAACAATTTTGGAATACATATTAGTCGACTCAGCAGATAGATTTACAAAACGACCTACTACTGCTTCGACAGGTAGGATTTTGGCTTCCAAATACGGAAAGGCTAAAGCTTTCACAATCAATTCTGCATCATTTTTAGAATCAGTTTTCGATGCCAAATCAAAAAAAAGTAATTTAAAAACTTGAAGGGAACGATAAAGGAAGACAACTGAATTACTTGAAAATCATAGACGTTTTTCGGAAAAGTTCAAGTTTTAAGGACGTTTCATTTGAATTTTCAACACCTTACTAGAGCGAAAACTGGATGTTTCTTGTGGTTTAGTTGAAGACAAACGATACGTAGACTAGTGAGTATTAATTATATATCTGGATATATGTCCGGAACGAAAGTTCTCACATTTTTTGTTGTCCCCAAGGGCAACGCTTTCAAGCTGTTGTATATCACTTTATTAATTTTATGTTAAAATAGTTTTCTGCTATGTGAAGAAGCGCACATTAACAAGCAAATACATACAGTTTGTGCGAATTGTATTTTCTTCATCGGATATGACTTTACAATATGTTTCACCAATACGGTTGAGAATATAAATAGCGTCTGTTACTGTTGGCGATTGATGATGCCCTTGGAAATAGAACAAGATTTACAGTTAGAAGAAAATTATACCTGTAAAGCATTTATTCCGAAAAGCATTTCTGTAGCACGTTAATTTGTCGAATTATTCATTCATTCATGACTTAAAAGCATACTTTTATAAATTGTTGTATATTGTTTGAGATCATCTTTTGTAGCATCATCGCTTGTTGTAAATTTAAGATGAACGAGTGAGCCATTTTCATTTCGGCGAAAGCTAAAAAATATGAGGAATACTTGATACTTAGTGAACATTAGGACACAACGGCATTAGGACATAAGAATACTATCATACTCGAATTTAACCGTCAGTAGTTAAAGTAACAGACTTGTTATATTCTGGAATTTGAGAACGATCTGAAGAGCAGGCTCTTTTGCGGCTTGTCCACGTAACGGTACACTTTGCTGATCAAGTTTTTGAAAAAACTTTTTCGATATCGAAAGTTTTGAACACATAATTAGATTCAGCTTTTTATTCTAAGAACCCGTTTGAAACTCATTTTTCATCCAAAAAATCTGGTTTTGAACTTTTCAGAAACCGATTTACAAAAATATTTTTTAAAACAAATTTCTAAAAATATACTTTTGTAGAGAATATTCTCTACAAAAATTGGCGTATTTGCTTTTGAGTTTACTTGCTATGTACAATTTGTACATAGTGGTACAGTTTCCGACCTACTGTCCAGTTTTTGACGCACTAAATTTCGGTTATCTGGGAAACTAACGTAGCTAGAAAGTTCGTTCAAACGTCAATCGACGTAGTTCATCATGCTCTACTCATACTGTGAAAACGACGTTTTTTGGATGTTGCATTGGACTCTGAGAAGGAGTATTGCGTGTTGTTTAGTGTTGCGTCACGGCATTACGAAAAAGGACCCGTTTTTAAGAGTACTGCTATGAAAATCCTGATTTGCTGCGAAAGTAGTTCTACAAACGGAACATTCCTTGAGCCGATCCTGTTGAGCAGCTCACGGGCTTTCTAATGGTAAAAAAATGTTTCATCTAGGTTATTAGATTTGCCTGAAAAATACAAAATTTAAATGTCAGAGCGTCACGTTTTTCATCATAGCGTTGCGTACTTTTTGTCAAGCATATTTGAGGCACTTAACACAATGGTAAAATTTTGATTTCCACCTTCCTGTGTTCTTTGTATATATGTATGTATGTATGTATGTATGTATCTGCAGAAAAATCAAGTTACTGTATCAAAATAAGAGCTCAAAAACTGGACAGTAAGTGGAAACTGTACAATTATGTACCAGTTTGTGCGAGGGGTGTCAGAATATCAGTGCGCAGTGTATTCTCAAAAAGAGACTGTTTTTTCCAAACTTGCTGGGCTTAGTATATTCTCATTGCCAATACACGAGAATATACCAGAATACGCAAATATATAAATTTCCATAAAATGTGCTTGGCTTGACGTGTTCTCATTGACAATACACAAATGTTGCATAGTGGCTCACTCTCATGCTGCACCCTCCCTCGCCCGACCGCGATACTATATCCTGTATTGTCAATGAGAATACACCAAGCCCAGCATATTTTATAGATATTTATATATTTGCGTATTCTGGTGTATTCTCGACGAGAATACACCAACCCTAGCAGATAGTCTCTTTTGAGAATACACTGCGTACTGATATTCTGACATCTCTGAATAGTACATAGCAGGTAAACTCAAAAACAAACGCC